CCCATAGCCCCCCCTAGAGGACGCAGTGTCCAGTTCCCTTTTCAGGGAACCATGGTTACATAAGTAACCTGAGACATTTTATGTAAGGTGCCTCCTACTGTAATTAGAGGAAAATCCTGCTTTAGTTCAGTAATAACTGCATATGTAATTAATATTTACTTATAAAATTAATATATTAATTTATAAATTGATAGTGAATCTGAAAATATATATACATTGAATCTGGTTCTCATAAAAAAAGGACACCCCTGCCTATATACATACACACACACACATAGACACTGAGGAATTTAAATAATAAAACATCATGCTTGACATACTTCAGTTTGTCCAATGAGCAGTTTGAGTCCTCCAGTTTTCCCCTAGAGGACGCAGTGTCTAGTTCCCTATTCAGGGAACCATGGTTACATAAGTAACCTGAGACATTTTATGTAAGGTGCCTCCTACTGTAATTAGAGGAAAATCCTGCTTTAGTTCAGTAATAACTGCATATGTAATTAATATTTACTTATAAAATTAATATATTAATTTATAAATTGATAGTGAATCTGAAAATATATATACATTGAATCTGGTTCTCATAAAAAAAGGACACCCCTGCCTATATACATACACACACACACATAGACACTGAGGAATTTAAATAATAAAACATCATGCTTGACATACTTCAGTTTGTCCAATGAGCAGTTTGAGTCCTCCAGTTTTTCAGAGAGCAGCTTGACTCCTGAATCTCCGGGGTGATTATAGCTCAGATCCAGTTCTCTCAGGTGTGATGGGTTCGAACTCAGAGCTGAAGACACATAACCACAGCCTTCCTCTGTCACCATACAGCCAGACAATCTACAAATACAGCAACAGTCCATGTGACATCTCTTACACACATGTATACTTATTTCAGCCATTATTTGTTCTTATGTGGTCATGTCTTAAGGTTTACTTTGTTAAAATGAACTTCTCCCTCATTAGAAATGCAATAATATCACCATCAGTATATGATGTCAATGATATAAAAACAAAACAAAAAAGCTAAAACGGCATGTAAACATTATAAATAAAACGATAGAAACGGCTGTCCAGTGGAGTTGTGTCACTGGTGTTACTGCTGAACAAACAACCCTTATTAGGAAAAAAATCTAGACTTTTGACATCACTTTCTATTTACATCTATTTGGAATCACTTTCTACTGTCCTTTCACCTTGGGAGAATACATATCGTCATTGTCATGTTGAAAAAATGCCCACCAACGCCAGCAAATGAGGTGAGGGTAGCATGTTCTGTTTCAAGTTGTGTGAATTCATGACAGCATTGATTAATAAACCTTCATCACTCATGCATCCCTATATAAGAGCTTTACTACCACCAAACTTCACTGTGGGAACCAGGCACTCTCACTGTACTCCTCCTCTAGCAGCACCTGTTAGATCTGAAATTATTGACTTGATCTCATGAGACCCGAGTATGTATTCCCAGAGGTATATATTTTGTAAATATGGGTCTTGGAAAAGGCTAAATGAGTTTCTTGCGCTTTGGCTACAGTAGGTAGTTTCAGTGAGGACAACAACCATCACTTCTGCAGGCTGCATCTTACTCGGTGAGATACACAGTCAATAATTCTAAACGTTTCCTTCTTTCATGTCTCTTGGTTTTTGATTCCCTCCCTTTGTTTATTGCCCTGTTGTTATTGTTTGGTTGATTGCCTGTGTATGACCTTTTGCTTGTTTCTGAATTACATCTTTTGATTACCCTTTAATAAATATTGCATTTGGATCCTCAGCTTTCATGTCTCCGTGCAGTTTGTGACTCTTAACATGTCTTCTAAGTAAAGAGCAATGGCTGAATTTGTTAAGTTTCAGAAGGGTTTATTTTATACCACAACACACTGAGCAGGACACGTCTCCATCAATTATACAGCAAATTCTCCCCCCACTTTTTATGCTGGTCTGCCTCAGCTGTCTAACAGCGGTTATCAAGTACAAAATGATTAAGATTACCAGTCAAAAAAAGGGCAAATGTTTGATGCATGTTGCATTTTTAAGTCCATGTAATAAGTGACCCAAACTCTCAGCACTTGCATGAGATGGAGTTTGTGTGGAGCAGAATTTACTGTGAACCAAGCCACTCAGAGACACTGAAAACACTGGATCAAGAGCTGCTTGCATGTAAATTAACATACTGTCGTGCTGTGTATTTATATCAAATAACATCACAAGCTTTACAATTTGATAAACACACTGACTATTGTGTTAATTTATTTGATTGAAAACCATTTACCTCAGAATCTCCAGCTGACAGTTTGGACTCTTAAGTCCATCAGAAAGCAGCTTCACTCCTGAATCCTGCAGGTCATTGTTACTCAGGTCCAGCTCTCTCAGGACAGAGTTTGATGATAAAACTGATGACAAACCCTCACAGGACTGAGCAGTGAGATTACATCCACATAGCCTGTGTAAAGAACAAAACAAACAGTAATATATACAGTTACATCACAAGCTTTAC